TCGCCACTTTCGAGGGTTACTGGGGGAGGGCCAGCATAGTGGGTACACGCCGCAGATCCAGACTAGACCTCGCCATCCCTGGGGGGCTGCACTCTGCGAAAGTGTCGCCAAATTCGAGGGCTGCTGGGGGGCCAGCATAGTGGGCACTAGCCGCGGACTCCGATCAGACCTCGCTATCTCTGGGACGCTGCGATCTGCGAAACAGTCGCCGCTTTCGAGGGCTGCTGGGGGGGCCAGAACAGTGGATACTCGCGGCAGGCTCAGATTAGACCTTGCCATCCCTGGGGTTTTGCGATCTGTGAACGTGTCGCCACTTTCGAAAGCTGCTGGGTGGCCAGCATAGTGGGTGCTTGCCGCAGATTCAGATTAGACCTCGCCATCCCTGGGGCGCTGCGCTCTGTGAAACTGTTGCACGTTCGAGGGCTGCTGGGGGGCCACCACAGTGGGTACTCGCCGCGGAGTCAAATCAGATCTCGCCATCCCTGGGGCGCTGCGATCTGTGAAACCGTCGCCACTTTCGAGGGTTACTGGGGGAGGGCCAGCATAGTGGGCACACGCCGCAGATCCAGACTAGACCTCGCCATCCCTGGGGGGCTGCGCTCTGTGACAGTGTCGTCAAATTCGAGGGCTGCTGGGGGGCCAGCATAGTGGGCACTCGCCGCGGACTCCGATCAGACTTCGCCATCCCTGGGACGCTGCGATCTGCGAAACAGTCGCCGCTTTCGAGGGCTGCTGGGGGGGCCAGAACAGTGGATACTCGCCGCAAGCTCAGATTAGACCTTGCCATCCCTGGGGTTCTGCGATCTGTGAACGTGTCGCCACTTTCGAAAGCTGCTGGGTGGCCAGCATAGTGGGTGCTTGCCGCAGATTCAGATTAGACCTCGCCATCCCTGGGGGGCTGCGCTCTGTGAAACTGTTGCACGTTCGAGGGCTGCTGGGGGGCCACCACGGTGGGTGCTCGCCGCGGCGTCAAATCAGATCTCGCCATCCCTGGGGCGCTGCGATCTGTGAAACTGTAACCACTTTCGAGGGTTACTGGGGGAGGGCCAGCATAGTGGGTACACGCCGCAGGTCCAGACTAGACCTCGCCATCCCTGGGGGGCTGCGCTCTGCGACAGTGTCGCCAAATTCGAGGGCTGCTGGGGGGCCAGCATAGTGGGCACTCGCCGCGGACTCCGATCAGACCTCGTTATCCCTGGGACGCTGCGATCTGCGAAACAGTCGCTGCTTTCGAGGGCTGCTTTGGGGGGCCAGAACAGTGGATACTCGCGACAGTCTCAGATTAGACCTTGCCATCCCTGGGGTTTTGCGATCTGTGAACGTGTCGCCACTTTCGAAAGCTGCTGGGTGGCCAGCATAGTGGGTGCTTGCCGCAGATTCAGATTAGACCTCGCCATCCTTGAGGGGCTGCGCTCTGTGAAACTGTTGCACGTTCGAGGGCTGCTGGGGGGCCACCACGGTGGGTGCTCGCCGCAGAGTCAAATCAGATCTCGCCATCCCTGGGGCGCTGCGATCTGCGAAACTGTAGCCACTTTCGAGGGTTACTGGGGGAGGGCCAGCATAGTGGGTACACGCCGCAGATCCAGACTAGACCTCGCCATCCCTGGGGGGCTGCGTTCTGTGACAGTGTCGTCAAATTCGAGGGCTGCTGGGGGGGGGCAGCATAGTGGGCACTCGCCGCGGACTCCGATCAGACCTCGTTATCCCTGGGACGCGGCGATCTGCGAAACAGTCGCCGCTTTCGAGGGCTGCTGGGGGGGTCAGAACAGTGGATACTTGCCGCAGGCTCAGATTAGACCTTGCCATCCCTGGGGTTTTGCGATCTGTGAACGTGTCGCCACTTTCGAAAGCTGCTGGGTGGCCAGCATAGTGGGTGCTTGCCGCAGATTCAGATTAGACCTCGCCATCCCTGGGGGGCTGCGCTCTGTGAAACTGTTGCACTTTCGAGGGCTGCTGCGGGGCCAGCGTAGTGGGTGCTCGCCGTAGACTCAGATTAGACCTCGCCATCCCTGGGGCGCTGCGATTTGCGAACATGTCGCCACTTCCGAGGGCTGCTGGCAGGGCCAGCATAGTGGGTACTCGCCGCAGGCTCAGATTAGACCTCGCCATCACTGTGGGTCTGCGATCTGTGAAACTGTCGCCACTTTCGAGGGCTGCCGAGGGGCCAGCATAGTGGGCACTCGCCGCAGATTCACATTAGACCTCGCCGTCCCTGGGTGGCTGCGATCTGCGAAGCCGTCGCCACCTTCGAGGGCTGCTTGGGGGCCAGCGTAGTGGGTACTCGCTGCAGACTCAGATTAGACCTCGCCATCCCTGGAGTGCTGCGATCTGTGAAACTGTCGCTGCTTTCGAGGGTTGCTGGGGGGGGGCAGCATAGTGGGTACACGCCGCAGATCCAGACGAAACCTCGCCATCCCTGGGGCGCTGCGATCTGCGAAACTGTCGCCACTTTCGAGGGCTGCTGGGGGGCCAACAAAGTGAGTATTCGCCGCACATCCAGGTTAGACTCCGCTATCTCTGGGAGGCTCCGATCTGTGAAACCGTAGCCACTTTCGAAGGCTGCTGGGGGGGCAAGCATGAAAGGGGGTACTCGCCGCTGTTTGAGACTAGACCTCGCCATCCCTGGGGGGCTGCGATCTGCAAAAGTGTCGCCACTTTCGAGGGCTGCTGGGCGGCGCAGCATAGTGGTTACTCGCTGCAATTTTAGACCCCGCCATCTCTGGAAGGCTGCGATCTGCGAAGCCGTCGCCACATTCGAGGGCTGCTGGGGGACCAGCATAAAGGGGGTACTCGCTGCAAGTTGAGATTAGACCGCTTGCCGTTCGCACCCACTGTCACCTTCTCCATGCTGCTGCTGCTGCTGCGATGGCTCCCCGCCCCCACCTTTCCGTCATTCTCCTCCCCGTCGTTCCCGCCCCCATTCTTCTTCAAGCCTAGGGCCCCCATCCTCGTCCTGTCGATCGCTGTCTGGTGACTCGTGCAGCGTGCGTGCATCCCATGTAGCTTGCACAAGGTATCGCCGCGCCTGAAATTTGTCGGTCGAAAATCCGCCGCCCCCTTGTGGGTCTCTAGGCGTGTGAGATTACCCCCCCCCCATAATCCCCCCCCCAAAGACCCCAAACCGGCAATTCGACCCCCCCCCCCGGGCCGAGCGCGACCCTGGACCGAACGCGCCACGCGGGAGCGGAGGGCTCCAAAACTGGCCAAGGAGGTACCAAAACGCTCCCCAGACGGTCCCAGGGGGCCACGATTCGCCGAAATATCGCCCCTGGACGCCCACGATGGCCTCCAGGCGGCCTCCGAAGCTGCCCAGATGCCACCCAAATGCGCCCCAAGAGGGTCCCAAGAAAGAAAAATCGTCCCACTCCCTTCGGCAAACAAGCATTTTTCGCATGCTCGCCAATTCGGTCTTCACAACGTCCCAGACGGGCAAAGAAACCTTCAATATCGCCCCCAGACGGCCAAAGGGGCCCCCAAGAAGGGTCGAAGAGGGTCCAACAACAGCCCACGAAGCCCCCCAGGCAGCCCAAGAGGGTCCCAGACGGCTCCAAGACGGAGTCCAGAGGGCACCTTTTCGAGCCTTCGGCCACAAGACGCCCCCAGCCTGCCCCAAGAACAGCCCAAGAGGCCCTGAGGGACCCCCAGGAGGACCTCAAAGGCCTCCAAGAAGCCCCCAGGAAGCCACCAAGAGGCCCCCAAACTTGGCCCAAGATGCCTCGAGGCGGCCGGATATGGCCTGCAGGCAAGCCAAGATGCCACCAAAAGGCTACAGAAGAGCACCAAGAGGTACGATAACAACAACGAAACAACAGGAACGATGTCGAGCGCCGTGTCATGATTCGGACAAGCCTCGTGAAATCCAGTCCTGGAGGCGCAATAATTCATATAGGGGTCGGCGGATGTGGCGTAAGCCTGTAGAATCGTCAAGATCTTATTGGGAGCCCGTCGCGAGCGGAGCGGAAGCCCCAATGCAACGTATCCTATGTATCCAATGATTGCATAATTGCTTGGTATTGCATTGTATTGCATTATTATGTCTCCACTCCTACCCCCCCCGCCCCAACCCACGCCACATCCACCGCCCCAAAAGTGGTGGATCCCTCCTGGGCTTCAACACCAACAAAAACCTACGGGAAACCGATGATTCGGCCCCCTTGGGCATCTTGGGGGTCTACGCCGACGTCAAGACGGCTCAAGATGGCCCCAAGACGGGCCAAGACGGCCCCAAGACGGCCCAAGATGGCCCCAAGATGGCCCAAGAAGCCCCCAAGACGGCCCAAGAGGGCCCCAAGAACGCCCACAAGAGCGACTCCAGAGGCCAACAAACATTATTTTCCTATAGGTTTGAATGATCTTAGCGTTCTCCCCTTCTTCGGCTCTGACAAGCCCATAACGGCCCAAGCAGCCTCCAAAATGGCCCCACAAAGACTCGAGAAGCATCCAATGGGGGCCCCAAGACGCCCTCAGAGGGCCCCAAGACGGCCAAAAGAGGCCCCCAAGACGGTCCAAGAGGCCCCCAAGACGGCCAACGAGGACCCCAACAGAGCCCCAAGGCGGCCGCGAGGGGCCTCCAAGATGGCCTCCGACGGGGCCAGACGGCGTAAGAGCGCCTCACGACTGCCCAAAACGTCCCCAGCAGGCCCCAAGAGGCCCCAAAGAAGCCCCAAAGAGGCCCCAAGAGGACCCCAAGAGGCTCCCAAGAGGCCCCCAAGGCTGCCACGAGGCACAAGAACGACTGGACTGTACGTGCTCCGGGCGTGCACCCCGCGAAGCGAGAGGATCGTCAAGGTCTTATTGGGAGCCCATCGAAATCCAAGAAACCCAAGGCACCCTCGCAAAATCCCACTGGTTTCTTGGCACGCGCCCCACTGTATGCCTCTTCTTCTTCTTCTTCTTCTTCCGACAGGCGGCCCACGCCGCGCCCGCCCGCGCGGACGCCGCGGCGGACCGCGGGCGCCCCCCGAAGACGCCGCCCCCCCCACACACACCGAGGCGCTGGCCCGCATGGCCGTGATGGTCACGGTGAACTTGGCGCCGTAGCGGGGGTCCAGGGTGGCCGCCTGTCGGAGGTGAAGATCTACAGTTCAGTCGGGCGTGTCCCCCTACAGGGGGATTTTCGACGAAAGCTAGAAAATACTCAAAAAGATACTAAACAAATAGTCCCCAGACTTATTTTTGGATTATTCCCGGAAAGGGCGCGGGCCCAGGGTTCTCTTTTAGCCGTTTACCCCCGGATCTGACGGGTCAAGCGCCGGCGAAATTATTTGCGATAAATAACGAGGTAAAGTGCTGATTTTTTTAGAAAAAGTGCGTTTTGTGCGTGCCCGCTCGAGGAAAGTTCGCCCCCCATCTCGGATCCTCGATAAATAACGGGGTCCGCAGACCCCCGCTTTCCCTCGTAAAAAAGAGGGTGCGGAGCGTTTTTCGCAGAATCCTCGAAAAATAACGGGGTCTGGAGCCCCGACCGCGACTCGGAAAAGCGCCCCGCGCGCAGGAATTCCGAGGATGTCTCGCGCGTGCCGCGTCCCGCGCGCAGGAATTTCGAGGATGTCTCGACTAATTCGCTTGTTTTGTCAGGATTTCTTAGAACTTTGGCAGGATGTCTCGAGCGAAACGCTTATTTTACATAGTTTGTGGAGGATGTCTCGAGCGAAACGCTGGTTTTCGCAAAATTTGGAGATGTCTCGAGCGGGGGGCCAGAATTCAGAGGATGTCTCAGGCGAAATGCTTGTTTTCGTGTCCCGCTCGCGGGAATTCCAAGGATGTCTCGCGCGGGCCGCGTCCCGCGCGCAGGAATTTCGAGGATGTCTCGACTAATTCGTTTGTTTTGTCAGGATTTCTTAGAATTTTGACCGGATGTCTCGAGCGAAACGCTTGTTGTTTGGAGGTTGATCGGGCCCTGGCGAGGCCTGGAAGTCGAACCTCCGATGCTTCGTCTACCGCGCTCGTGCGCAGTAGACGCGTCGAGCGTTGCGCAACGTGTTGGCTGAATTGCACTTGCCCTTGCAAAAAAAAAAAAACTGGAAAACTGAAAAAGTACAGCAGGAAGAAGGCCCTCCGAACCTTGCAGGGGTGAAGTCTCATGAAAGGGCCTGCAGGGATGCAAGAGCTGCAGGCTATCTACATGACTTTCGGCCTTTCCCGCCACAGGCTATCTACTGGCCTTCGGCCTATGTGCCTCAGGATATCTAGGGGCCTGCGGCCTATCCCGCCACCGTGGTGCAGGGATTCAAGATCTTCAGGCTATAATATTATACAAGGCTGTCAGGCTCCAGCTTGAGATTTAGGGCTTATCACAGGTTGTGGAAGTGTATAAAGACTGACAATGGATAATATAGTCCGCGGGCGATCCTTCAGTCGCAAGTTTAAGAAATGTCATGTTCTCTTGGTTGTTTTGTGTTCTGTTGGATCATTTGCGGCCCTGTATCAAGTTGTTTGCTAGAGTCATTATACCCCGACGACGACGACGACGACGACAACGACGATGGCGTCGACGACGACGACGACCACGACGTCGACGACGACGATTCATCGACGACGCGCTTCCTCTTGCTTGTTCTCGTCGTCCTCCTTTGTTATGTTTGCTGGTCCGCCTTGTATGTTGCCGTGCTTCGTCGTCCTGCTTTTTCTTCTCCTCCTCCGCCCAATGCGTTGAACATGTCGACGGCCGTAGGGGCCCGAATGACTCACACCAGGAGGTGAGTTGTTCGGGCTCCTCGTCCTTCTCCTTTTTCTCGTTATCGGAGTTCTGGTGGTGCGCGCACGAAGGCCTTCACGTTTGTGGTGTGGTGATGCCGCCCGCGGGAGCGTAACGCTTTTTGTCTTGTCGCTGTCTCCACTTCCCGACGCTTCTGGACGGCGTCTGAGGTTCTTCAGTTCGTTCCAAGACGGCCCAAGGCCCAGGAGGGCCCTGGAGGCTCTTACATCGCGTAAGAGGGCTCAAATAACGCTCCAAGAAAGTCCAGAAGGAATTCGGATCGAGATGGCGCGGCCTCGGGTTCTGGAGGCCCGGGGGAAGCCGCTGAAAGAAATCCCGAGGGTTTGCAGCAGTCGCGCGGGGCCCCAAGAGGCTCCGAGGAAGTGCCACGAGGTCGCCAAGGGGCTCAGGATTGGCCCAAGTCCATATGTCCTCCAGCGTTGTCGTCGCTGTTGCCATTCGGGCTCACAGCGTTGCAGTGTGGCTGTGAGCTTAGCTCCGCCTACCAGCAACCGTTTCCGCCCTCCAGCAATTTCCTTGCGGTCGGCATGGAGAGGTGCCCGTGCGCTCTGGTAACCTCGCTAGCAACGGGGGCCCCTTGGAGCGAGCAGGGCGAGGGCAAGTCCTTCCACGAGTTCATGCTGGACACGTTTGGATCATCGATCGATGGTGGCGGTCCGTCGGAAAGCCAAGATTCAGAATTTAGCTGCGAGCATCCGTCTCGGAACGGGTCGAACAGCTTGCTGAAAGGTTCTGCCGCATGCCGATTTCCAGATGCGCGAGAGACTCCGCGTGTCATTCTTGCAGTTCGTGGCGCATGGTTACCGCCTGGCGAGGCCGACGTCATCCACAGTACGTTGCCCGGCAAGTCAGTATTGAAGTGTTGGGTGGCTGTGCGTGCCGATGAGGAGGCGGTCACCCCTCCTTCTTTTGGCAACGACCGATCGTCGCCGTACCGCCGTCGCCCAGCAGACATCGCGGATTGCCTGCCGCCAGAGCTACTCGGGCGAATAAAACGGAACGCCCTGGTAGCAATAGACTACGCGGAGCAGGCCATCGCGAACAAGAGAGGTCAAAGTTCGAAGAGGCTGAGGCAGGATGGCAGCGGTGAGCTGAGCTGCATGAAGAAACTCGTCGCTCAGTTGGGCACGAAGGAGCTGCCTCCTCGGGAGCGCCCCAGCACTGCCTGGAAAGCTTGCGGTGACACGGTGTTTGCGCCGGCGGATATCGTGGCTCGGGGGTGCAGTTGCGGCCGCCTGGAGAAGTTCCCCGTGCACATGTCCGTCGACTGCCGCGGCTTAGGGCCCAGCAACGTGGCTCGCAAGACCAGGTTCAACGTAGAGGCAGAGGTCGCGCCAGCGCTGCTGCATGCGGCGAAGGGCAAGCTGCTGTGCGAACTGCGGGCGGGGTCTGTTCGCAACGAAGATGTGGTGCGTCTGAAGGTTCACGAGGACAACCTCGGTTGTGCTTCCATCGTGTGCAACATGCACACGTTCACTGAAAGGGCGCCCGTTGGCGCGTTGACTCCGACGGCGACTTCGCAACCGACAAGCACCGCATGCTGTGGATGATAAGTACGCGCGCACTGTGGAACATAGGCATCCAGGGCAATGCGCTTAGCGCAGGCTATCGAGACATTCGCATTGCTGGCCCCATGCCCCCCCGAGATCGGGCGAACTGGATTCCAGGTCGCCTCAAAATCGCTCCATATCCCCCCGAGATCAGCTCCATATCCCCCCGAGATCGAGCGAACTGGATTCCAGTTCGCCTCAAAATGGCCCCCGATCCCCCCGAGATCGGGCGAACTGGATTCCAGTTCCCACCGAAAGGGCCCCAAATCCCTCCGAGACCGGGCGAGCTGGATTACAGTTCGCCCCGAAGTGGCCCCATATCCCCCCGAGATCGGGCGAACTGGAATCCAATTCGCACCAAAATTGCCTAGGACCCCCGAGATCGGGCGAACTGGATTCCAGTTCGCTCCACAATGGCTGCACCCCCCCCCCGAGATCGGGCAAACTGGATTCCAGTTCGCCCATCAAAGGCCCTATCCCTCCCGTGATCGGGCGAACTGGATTCCAGTTCGCCCCGAAATGGCGAAGCACCCCCCCAAGATCGGACGAACCGGAATCCAGTTCGCACCGAAAGGGCCCCAGATCCCCCCGAGATCGGGCGAACTGGATTCCAGTTCGCCTCAAAATGGTTCCAACATGGGTCCATGCCCCCTCCGAGATCGGGCGAACTGGATTCCAGCTCGCTCCGCAATGGCCATATATCCCGAAATCGGGCGAACTGGATTCCAGTTCGCCCCGAAATGGCGAAACACCCTCCCAAGATCGGGCGAACTGACCGGGTGAACTTTATTCCAGTTCGCTCCGCAATGGCTGCATACCCCCCCGAGATCGGGCGAAATGGATTCCAGTTCGCTCCGCAATGGCTCTATCCCTTGCCGAGATCGGGAATGGCAAAGCCCCCCCCCCAAGACCGGGCGAACTGGAGTCCAGTTCGCACCGAAAGAGCCCCAGATCCCCCCGAGGTCGGGCGAACTGGATTCCAGTTCGCCTCAAAATGGCTCCAACATGGGTCTCTGCCCCCTCGAGGCCAGGCGAACTGGATTCCAGTTCGCTCCGCAATGGCTCTATATCCCGAGATCGGGCGAACTGGATTCCAGTTCGCCCCGAAATGGCGAAACACCTCCCCAAGATCGGGCGAACTGATCGGGCGAACTGGATTCCAGTTCGCGCCGAAGTGGGTTCGCCCCGAAATGGCCCCATATCCCCCCGAGATCGGGCGAACTGGATTCCAGTTCGCGTCAAAATGGCCCCAGATCCCCCCGATATCGGGCGAACTGGATTCCAGTTCGCAACAAAATGGCCCGAGATCGGGCGAAATCCAGTTCGCACCGAAGTGGCCCCAGACTCCCCCGAGATCGGGCGAACTGGATTCCAGTTCGTCGGTTTTGGTAACACCCCACCCCTCGGGGCGCCAAGGATGCGCCGCAAGGGGGCCCCCGCGTTGCCCAAGATCGCCCGCGGCAAGGCTGAATTGGGATCTTGATCCCATTTCGTTGGTTCTTCGGGGGATCCATGAGGGCCTCGGGGCGCCCAGGGTGGGCCCCGAAAGGCTTCTAGTAGCCCAGGGTCGTTCGAACCCAGGTCGGCATGGTCGGGGCCCTCGCTGGGTCTTGGGCGGCATCCGAGCGTTCACGATGGGCCGTTTTCAAGGCCCGGGGCGCTCGGAAACAGACCCGGGGTGCAAAACTGCGTCGGAAGGGCCCTGGGGGAGCTCCGGGGACCGCCTTTGAGCCGATTTCGGCCCCCGTGGCCCAGACCTCCGACGTCGTATTTTTGTTTGGCCGACGTGGGCCCCCAAAGGTCTGGGCCTCTTCCCCGGACCGGTTCTGCGCCCCGTGCCATCGATCGATGGTCCCGGGGCCGGGAGACGGCCTCCGGAGGCCAAAAACCTTTTTCCCGGAAAGGGCGCGGGCCCAGGGTTCTCTTTTAGTAGGTTTAACCCCCCGGCCCCCCTGCGACTTGGGCCGGCGAAATTATTTTGCGAGCGGGCACGCACGGAGTAGGGCCGGCGAAATTATTTGTGAGGATGTCTCGAGCGAAACGCTTGTTTGTCAGAATTTGTTGAGGATGTCTCGAGCGAAACGCTGGTTTTGCAGAGTTGGGGATGTCTCGAGCGAAACGCTTGGTTTCAGAATTTGTTGAGGATGTCTCGAGCGAAACGCTGGTTTTGCAGAGCCGACCGCGACACGGAAAAGCGCTCCTCGCGCAGGAATTCCGAGGATGTCTCGCGCGTGCCGCGTCCCGCACGCAGGAATTTTGATTTCTTTGGGTTTTGACAGGATTTCTCAAGCGAAACGCTTGTTTTTCATAATTTGTTGAGGATGTCTCGAGCGAAACGCTGGTTTTGCAAAATTGGGGGATGTCTCGAGCGGGGGCCTCGTGGGGGGCCAGAATTCAGAGGATATCTCAGGCGCAATGTTTGTTTTCGTGTCCCGCTCGCAGGAATTCCGAGGATGTCTCGCGCGTGCCGCGTCCCGCGCGTAGGAATTCGGATGATTGTGATAGGATGTCTCGAGCGAAACGCTTGTCCCCAGCACGTTCAGTAGCGCGTCCCCTTGGCACGTCCCGCGTTGCGACCCCATGGCACGTCCCCTGGCACGTCGCCTGGCGCATCCCTTGGGACGTTTCGCGGCGCGTCCTCCTGGCATGTTCCCCTTGTCAATTAGCTCTGGGGCAGCTACTATGTGTTCAGGCAGCTCGAGCTTAAGATCCAGATCAGTTCGGTCAGGACTCGGATGCAAAGGAGGACTCGATCCACGACGCTATAGAGCACAACCGCGGCATGGCACATCGCAATTCAGCACGGTGCAGCACAGCACAGCCCTCGGCAGGGTACATCAAGATCGATACACTCAGCATTGCAACTTGGCACGTTCCTTGGCACGTTCCGTGGGGCGTCCCTTGGCGAGTCCCCCTGGCACGTCGCGTGGCGCGTCCCCTGGCACATTCCGTGGCACATCCATTGGCACGTTCCGTAGCGCGTCCCTTTGGCACGTCCTACGGTGCGACCCCATGGCGCGTCCCCTGGCACGTCGCCTGGCGCATCCCTTGGGACGTTTCGCGGCGCGTCCTCCTGGCATGTTCCCCTGTCCATTAGCTCTGGGGCAGCTACTATGTGTTCAGGCAGCTCGAGCTTAAGATCCAGATCAGTTCGGTCAGGACTCGGATGCAAAGGAGGACTCGATCCACGACGCTATAGAGCGCAGTCGCGCCATGGCACATCGCAATTCAGCACGGCGCAGCACAGCACAGCCCTTGGCAGGGTACATCAAGATCGATACACTCAGCATTGCATTTGCCCGTCACCCAATCAGGTGTCTTTGAAAACGCTGCCATGTGTTACAGTTCTATATTCCTTTCCGGGTTCGTGGGTCGATCATGTTTTTCCCGGAAAGGGCAAAGGCCCAGGGTTCTCTTTTAGTTGGTTTCCCCTCGGTTTTGACGGCTGTAGGGCCGGCGAATTTCTTTTGCGATAAATAACGAGGTCGCGTAGGGCCGGCGAATTAAAAATTGAGGACGTCTCTAGCGAAACGCTTGTTTTTCAGAATTTGTGGAGGATGTCTCGAGCGAAACGCTTGTTTTGTGTTATATATTGTCCTCTCCTGGGCACCTGAATTCTGAGGATCTCTCAAGTGGATTGCTTGTTTTCACGTGCCCAGGTCTTGAGGATGTCTCGAGCGAGACGCTTGGTTTCACGCCTCCAGGTGGCCCAGAAAGATGTCTAGCATGAGGATTTGTTGAGGATGTCTCGAAGCAGAGGCTTGTTTTCACGTGTCCAGGTCGCCCAGGCGGATGTCTAGCATGAGCATTTGTTGAGGATGTCTCAAGCGAGACGCTTGTTTGCACGTGTCCAGGTTGCCCAGACGGATGTCTAGCATGAGGATGTGCTGACAACGTCTTGAGCGAAACGCGTGTTTTCACGTGTCCAGGTCGCCCAGGCACAGCACAGCCCTCGGCACGGTACATCAATATCGATACCCTTAGCATTGCAGCCTGGCATGTTGCCTGGCACGTTCCGCGGAGCGTCCCGTGGCGAGTCCCCCTGGCACGTCGCGCGGTGCACGTCCATTGGCACGTTCCGTAGCGCGTCCCCTTGGCACGTCCCGCGGTGCGTGCCCATGGCACGTCCCCTGGCACGCCGCCTGGCGCGTCCCTTGGGACGTTCCGCGGCGCGTCCTCTTGGCATGTCCCTCTGTCGATTAGTTCTGGGGCAGCTACCATCTGCTCAGGCAGCTCGAGCTTACGCTCCAGATCAGTTCGGTGAGGACTCGAATGCCAGGGAGGACTCGATCCACAACGCTCTATAGAGCACAATCGCGACATGGCACATCGCAGTTCAGCACGGCGTAGCACAGCACAGCCCTCGGCACAGTACATCATCATCGATACATTCAGCATTGCATGTGCCCGTCGCCCAATCAGGTGTCTTCGAAATGTTGCAATGCCTTACATTTCTAGATTCCTTTCCGGGTTCGTGGGTCGATCATGTTGAATATCCTCCTGTAGAGGGACAGGCCCGACTTACATTCGCAGGGTCGGGAGCTTTTGGCTTCGCGTGCTGCAAAGGCGGCCCCGGCGACGCGCTGCGCCCCGCGAGGTGATGGGTGCCGCACCGCTCTCCGCAGGGCGGGGGGCTGCGGACAGGCTCGGGACGCTGACGCTGGGAACGAAGGATTGCAAAAAAACCCAGGATTGCAAAAAAACCCGAAGGATTGCAAAAAAAACCCACTTGAACGAAGGATTGCAAGAACGAGGGTTTTTTTTGCAATCCTTCGTTTTTGCAATCCTTCGTTCAAGTGGGCAGCGTGTCGCGCCGAAGCTTGGCGGGCCAGAGCCGGCGGAGCGACACGCCGAGCCAAAGCTCCTGACCGTACGCGGAAGTATACGGGGCGCTTCGCCCGACGCAAAGAGATGCGTTGCAAGCCCAGAGGTTCTCGCGAACCTGGCCCGAATAGTGCTCACTGTGCTCTGCGTGGTGGCCACTGCGAACGCATTTCCGCAGTCGTGCTCCTGTCCCCGAGCCTGCGGCGCCAGAGGCTTCCCCTTTTGATTCCGAAGATACAGTCGAAATCTATAGTAATGACGGGCGGTAAGGGTGCAAGGGCCTTGGACGCCGAGGTTGGCACTTTCTAGGTGGCGGACTGCCAACACCCAGACAGGCTGGCCAATGGAAACCGCGAAGGACGGGCCGCAGAAGCAAGGACGCAAGGGTACACTAAGAACATCCGTGCGCCCTTACTTTGACCAGCGGTGAGCGAGGGGGGAAGTGAGAAGGGGCGGGCCTTCTCAGAAGGCTTGGAAATCCTCCTGCCTTCTGAGAAGTTTCCTACGCCGTCCCCGAAGACACATAACACTTCTCAGAAGGCGCGAGGGCTTCTGAGAAATCCCGCCGCCTTCTGAGGAAGGCCTTCTCCTCCTCACTTGCCCCCCTCGCTCGCCGCCGATATGAGTTTCGACTGTGCGAGCACAGGTCCGACCGAGCACCTCGAAAGGCCCACCCGCCAAAGGAACGCCGCTGCTGTCGGCCGCAGCCTGGCAAGCTCTGGATGACAGGCGCGAGGGGGCGCAATCGCCTATGGCTCTTCCCCGGACGGTGCCACGCCCAGCCGGCCCCTATACGCAACACGCAACCCGTAGCGTGTTGGCGCGCAGGCCAACGAGCAGATTGAACACGTACGTCTGGCGCGGCGCGTTCGCCAGCACGTGGGCCAGCGCGTTGAGCCAACACGCGTGTGAGAACGGACGTTTTCAGCACGGTGCGTGGTGCGTTTCAGCACGGGCGTATCAGGGCAGCTGAGGTGCCACGTGAAACCGTCGGTGCACAGCGTCCTCATTGTGTGATGGAGCGCAGAGGCAGTGAGACATCAGTGCTGACACTCGCACTGTCGCAAAGAGGGGGTCGCCCCTACCAAACGGATTGCTTGGCAGCGATCGTCCCCTTCTTCGTCCCTCTTTTCCCCTTTCCTCCTCCTCCTCCTGCTTCTCCTCCGATTCCTTCTCGACGTTCCACGGGCATGAGATGTAAATGTTGGGAGGGAGGGGCCTGGGAAGATACAGGGCGCGACCGTGTAGTGTAATGAACCCATCCAGCATACGCGATGACACGAGTGATCGGATCATTTCTCCCACACCCCATCCTCCCCACCCGATAGTCGTCTTTCTGGCCCCTCCTCCTCGCTCTCACCGCCTGCAGTGCCAGGTAGTCCGGGGCGGAGGAGTGCACCTGCAAGGCTCCCGCGTTCTGCACCTGCATGGGCGGCAAGTGAAGCGTGCGGTCGACGCTGAGGCCCACCGTGACCCGGACCTTCTCCTCCATGAGGCCATGCACCTCGACGAGCTGCGCGGCGAGCACCTCGGAGAAGTACGGGTCCCCGTAGAAGACCAGGAAGAAGGCGAGGACCTTTCTCGTTTATCCTTGCGATCCCGCTGCGTCAGCAAGCAGGCGGAAGCGGTGGAAGGCGGTGGCCCTCGGCACCAGGAGTCGGATCTCTGTTTCCTTCTAGAAGTTCCCATGGGGATCACTGGTTAGAGCCTCCTGAAGCCTCTCAAACTCTGCTCTTCCTACCTCTCCTCCTTGCTCCATCGCAGGAGGAGGATGAGAGGGAGGAGGATGAGGAGGACGAAGAAAATGAAGACCCATACATCCGACCTCGTGTCTTTTCCACGTTTTACCGGGGACCCGCTTTTCATCTCGAGTCGTCGTGTTCTCGGTCCCATGGCCGGGTGAGGGCCCTCGGAGGTCGAAAACTGCCGAACCTTCCCTTCATGAGTTATTCAAGACGTGAATATATCATTGGAGAAAGGAGAGAGAAGAGTAAGACGAGGATGATGATGATGATGACGATGATGATGATGATGATGATGATGATGAGGAGGAGGAGGAGGAGGAGGAGGAGGAGGAGGAGGAGGAGGAGGAGGAGGAGGAGGAGGAGGAGCGCACGTAGCCTTGAGGAATGTGGTCTGGTCATAGTGCCAAGGCAGCCCGAGCAGCACCCCGGGCTTGGTGAACCTGCGTCTGGGCGGCACACCCATGCGGGAAGAGAGCTGGCCGAAGCTTGTGGTAGGCGTGAAGAGCGAAACTGAGCCTCCTGGGGCACCGCGGGGCGCCCGCCCTCTGGCCCCATCGCAGTCAGACTCGCCGCCCAGACCGAACCTGACGAGGGGGGCAAGCAGGGGTAAGGACCGAGAGCTGGAGATCGGCCACCGCCCACAGCCGAGGACACAAGATACAATGAGAGATTCCTTCCACATGGTGAACACGCAGCAACAGAGCGGGATAAACTCCCTGGACTCCTGGCAGATCGCCACTCGTCCACGGCACATTATGATGCCCTTCCTGTGCGCAGCACAGTTGCTTCGATGAAGCGATCTGCCTGCACTCATGAGGAAAAATGCGGTGGCAGGTAAGGGAACATCATGAGAGTTGGAAGCGGCCGGCGGAGGACAGAGTTGTCACAGCCGAGCCGACACTTGCATTGCGCAAGGCTTTCCACGCGCCCTGAAAAGAGCCACCAGGTGTCTGCACGCGCGGCCGTGAGGCCGACCTGGCGGCCGACGGTGCAGAAGGCCACGCAACCGATCCCAGCGAAAGTTCAAGGAAACGATATCGAGAGGAGGGAAACCACTTCAGCAACCGGCGCGCAATGATAGAGGGCATAACTGTCGGGCACACAGTGCAGTTGTATTCCGAGTGAGAAGCGGATCTGGAATCGTGGCGGTCGCTTGTGGTCGAGGGCCTGCTGGGCCTCATCAACTTCGGTGTCCTGATGAGCTTTTGGCAGGATTTGAAAGGGGGGAGGGGCAGAGGGGTGAGCGGGCAAGGGTCGAAAGAGTGGAGGAAGAAGCTCGAGACAGACTGGAGACCGCTCGATTAAATGTGCCAGCGCGGCGCACTCCACCACGCGGAAGGATTCCACAACTGCAAGCTCTGTCCCGCAAACGAACTAAAGCTGGGGCCCAACCTCAAAACGTTTTCCCCGCGGCCCTCCGCATGCACGCCACCCCCGTCATCTTCAGAGGCTCTGGTGCTCTCAGTCAGCGCAGAGAATGCAGCTCCGAGAGGGCAAAGCTAGAGGGTGGGAGACGGAGGAGGTTGTGCAGCGCGTGCGACTCACGCTGCAGGAGGCGAGTGGGGATATAGAAAAACTGAACAAGAAATGAGAGTCACGGCAGGATGAACATGCGGTACAAGCGGGTCTTGTCATCAGTTGGCGCACGGATTCCTGCTACCATGCGACACCGAAGCCGCCATCTTACGAATGGACGTGCGAATCGCATCTATCTCCTCACCGCCCAGGAACTTCCAGGTCGGGACCAGACAACATCACCTGGGCTGCAGGTCGAGGTAATCTAGGGCGGACGCGGCTTGGACCAGAGGGTGTGCGAGCGGGGACAGGGGGGGTCGGGAATGGACCCCCCCGCCTCGTCGGCACGCGCACCAGCAGAAAAAAGGGGGGGCGGGGTTGGGACAACGCGTTCCAGCCGTTCTGCACGGGGTCCCTTGAGCAGGGGAGGGGGGGGGGGGCAAGCTCGCAGCCCCCGTGTCGCAGGCGGTGGGTGGGCGACGGCATATCGGATCCACCCCCAGAGCCCGAAGGGTCCCACTCAATGGGCGGCCCTGGTCCCGCCCCTCCCTTCCCCCCTTGACACAGAGAAGAGACGGTGCCCCTCGGGCCCAACCTTCAAAAAACGAGCCGAATCAGAGAAAAGAGTCTTGGTGACGTTCAAACAGCCCGTGGGGAGGTTGAGCCTCTGAAGGACCGCGTGGAGCCACTGTTGAGACATGGCAGGGAAATGCGGCGCGAATATCATGGGACATGAAACAGGGGCGGCGCGCTGGGCCATCATCGCGAATGCTGCTAAGCCGAGCTTCCGCATCGAGGTTCAGAATATGAGTTCCCAAATTTCGACCGTTCGTGAACCCTTGCTGAATGTTATGGACATGCTGCTTTGCTGCAGTGCGGGCGCGGTCGCAAGAAACCCTCGCGAAAAAACCCAAACCTGAAAAACCGCGCGCGAGGTGCACCTGGGGGGGGGCCTGGAGCACCCCGAACGCAGCATCTCCTTCAACGGCCGCGGGATGTCACCGCGCATCGCGCGGAGCGAAGAAACCCAAGGTACTCTGGCGAAAAATAAACGGTTTCTTGATGCGCGCCCCCACTGTACTTTGCTGAGATGCATGTTAACGGTTTGGGCGAAGGCTTTGATGTCGGTGTTCCTCAAATCCACCCTGCGGAGCGAGCGGGCGCCCCTCGAGCAATCAGTGAGATCCCCAGGGCCGCCGCCATCAGTGCAGAAGGTCTCACTCGTCATTCGAATTGTTCGAACCGTCGACAGCGGACAAGCGCGTTGCACCACTCGCAAAGTGCATGCTCGCAAATGGCCGAGATCCGCCGCGGGGGAGCTACGATGCATTACATCAAATCAAGCTTTTTTTGTTATTCTCGGACATTTGCGAGTAGGCACTTTGCGAGTAGTGGGGCGCGCTCGGTGAGACAGGGCCCCCGCCATAGAACAACTGTGCCATCGCCTCGTGAAGAATGTCTGCGGCTGCTGCGGCGGCCCTCCACGCTCCGCGCGGGGGCCGATCAGGGCCGGGGGAAGAGGCCCTCCCATGTTTCATAGCTCTCGCGAGATCACTGGGGGGGGGGGGGGTCGGAAAAAAGGCCAGGGTGGGGGATGGGCGTCGAGATGTCGGGGGATGTCTCACCGCCGTGCCTGGGGGCCCCGGGCAAATATCGCTCGGCCCTGGCTGGGGGTGCCCGGCGCCGCTCAAGATCGGCGGGCGCCGCGAGGGGCTCCAAGCCAGCGCGTGCCGCGTGCGTGGGTCTCGGGTGTCTCCTTGATCTTGGCATGCTCTGGGGCCCCGGCAGGAGGGCCGTCGCCCGGGGCGCCGCGCGCGCGTCGGCCAGCGGCGCGAACGGCTTCCTGGGCCACCTCTTCAAGGCGGTGCTGGCTGATGGCGGAACGTGGTGGGGCGAGTGATGAGCGCGGCGCCGCGGCCCGTCGCGCGCGGGAAGCGCGTTGCGAGGCCCGTCGAGCCTCGGGGGCCGCTGTGCCAGGCGAGCATCTCGTCGCCAGGCAGCGCGAGAGGTGGCGCGGAGAGTCGCGCTGTTGAGCTCGGCCGCCCCTGTGGGGGCAGGCGGCCGCGCTCCCTTCTGGAGCGCGTCGCGAGTGAGATCAGCGGCCGCGTGCATCGGCGATTCCATGCGCGGCGATTTCGACGTGGCGTCGAGCTCCTCTAGCTTTGCTCCGTCCGCGCACTCCTGCAGGGTCTGCCTGAATACGGTGTTCGGGATGCTGCGCATTCCGTTGGATTGAGGGTGCTTCGGAGCCAGCCGCATCAGGGGCAGCGCATGGTCGGGCAGTGCCCAATCAGAGAGACGGGGCGCCTCCTGGATCATGCCAATGGTCGCGTTGCAATATGTGGTGCAGTGGGCGCTCGGCGAGATGAAGAGTCAGTGCGTGGTGTTCAGGGTTTCCGTTGAACGAATGTAGCGCGCGGGCAGCGGGTTCTCCAACTCGAGCGTGCCATGCGCAGAAAAGTCCCTCCAACGTGTTTCATCCTGCGGTGCTCCGCCATCCTTTGGCCAACTAGCTTGCAGACGTTGGGGGTGGACAACAATTGGTCGACAGCGTTGCTCGCGTTGAAGTCGCCAATGCATGCCAGTGTCCGTGAAGGCGCCGTGGAGCCATGAGACATGCGGGGTCCATCTGGGGCGGATATCGGCGCCGCTGTCGCGGGAAATGTCGTAGTTGTGAGCGTTGAGGACGCGAGCCGCTCGGCCAGTCGCGCGGTTTAGGGCGAACAACTGATGAATGCGTCTTCGTGCGATGATTCCAGGATCGAGGACTCGAGCTTGATCGGTGGGAATGCGCGCAAGAGTGTCAGAGGAGTACCGAGGAAAACAACGGAAGTGACGCCGCCCTTGCCTGCGCGAGTCTCATGCTCGTCGCCGCCGTCGGCGGGAAAGCCCGAATAGGACGGCTTGAAGTGGATGTTGAATTGATCGAGCAAGGAGGTCGAGGTGATTTCATGGCCGTGAACTTCTTGAATGAGAACTGGGTCACGAGAAAGTAATAGTTTCTTGAACTTCCGATATTTCAACCGCCGGTGTTTGTGGTTGTAGCAGCATTGGCCGAGGGCATTCCAGATAACGATGCGAAGTTCCTAGGTGCCACCATTTTCAATTTCCCATGCAAAACAGCGCTTGCTAGGATAACATCCAAGCCGGAGTGCCGACGCCCTGGAGCTGTTGCTTGAAATTGGCGGTGTCAGATGCGAAGTCGATACCGAATTGCGCAGCGCCTTCAGGGGGCCACACGAAATTTGTTGGCTCGTCCACTCATTTCGGTCAGACTTCCACCGCGGGGATTGTGTCGGCGCTGATGAGACCTCGAGCCCCTAAGAGCCTCCAATCATTATGTAGCTTGGATCGCTGAAGGACTGCGAGAAAACGCTTCCCCTGGACCTCGCGCCTTGTCGCTTTGGGGCTCTTGTCTGGGCTGATAAAGAATGTACCCCGTGCGCCGCTGACTCCAATTGCAGAGCATCGTCGCCAAACGCCTTGAGGGAGCTGGAGCTGCTGGGCCAGCCGAACGGCCCGTGCAACACCACGGCGCCCCCAGGAAGATGAATGTAGCAAACTTCACCAGGTGATTGTCCATGAAACGCATCTTGCTCAGGGGTGATGCCCGTGTCGCTGATCCATGCGGCGATGCCCCGCGAGACCTCTGCGTCCGTCGTGGGTTACGCAGCACCGATCCTGAAAATGCTGGGGTCAGGCGGTCTGTCATATGTGGCGAATCGGGCCACATCGACCACCTCAGCGCCAGCATTTTGAGCTTGATCCCAAGACCGCTGCACCTCGTCCAAATCAGAGCGGGGAACATCCTGACGCGATTCCAAAGTGGCAGCGCTCCTGAAACCCTCGGATGTCAACGTCGTGCTGCTCCAGCCGTGCAGCCTGAAGGTGAAGGAGACGCTCTACCGTGTTACGCATGTCGTTGTGCGTTGCGTCCATGATGCCAGTGACCTCGATCCTGACGCTGCACATCTGCGTAACGAGCGCGCTGTTGACAGCGGCTTCGATGATATCAACAAGCTGTGGGCCAGCAGGGCGAGGAATGCCATCAAAGGCCAGCACCGGGGACGTGCCGACCTTGAGCCCAGATATCACTATCACCTTGAAGAGGGTCATTGGCTTCACCATGCACGGGGGTCAGGGCGCCAATACGAGCGCATCTTTCATCATCATCATCATCATCATCATCATCATCATCATCATCATCATCATCATCATCATCATCGTCGCCATCCTCCTCCTCCTCCTCCTCCTCTTCTGTTTCTTCTTTATCGCCATCTTCTTCTTCTTCGCCATCTTTTCCTTCGCCACTCTCATCTGTTTCTTCTTTTTCTTGCCATCCTCATCACTGTTAGCATCGTCGTCATCACCATCATCAAGAAAGGTCGCCATAATCTCGATGCCGTGTTAAATGCGGACGACTTCAGCTTGGGGAAGGCCAGCCAAAGGGGCAACACCACAAGGGCCACGGTGCCCTCCACGTGCAGCACCAGGTACGTCGCTATGATGCAGCGCTCTGCTAGCGTCGCCACGCTGAGCAGGAACAGCGCCAGGAGACGAATTTTGAGAAGATGGGTCGGCTGATTCACGACGTCGTTCTCGACGGCGACGTCGGTCATCTTTGCGGCATTGGCGAGCACGGCGCTCACTTCCACGGTCACTGCGAGAAACACTGCCGGAAGCCCCATCATTGGGCATGGACGGAAAGTGCAGTGTCTCAGAATCTGAAGCACTGAGCTGAGCAGGAAAAGGAAATTCGACCGCTTACCCGTTCAGCATAATGTACGCACGTGGAAACAACAGCGGTGGCCTGGCCTTGGGTCGGAGGTGTCCATTGTCTGCACGAGGGACATTGAAGTCTTGATCCAGAAAGCTCCAAGAGGAGGCACCCAGAGAGGGCTTGCGCGCCGCATGCGACTTAGTCGCAGAGTGCCGTTCGATCCATCGCTCAGGCTGTACATGCACGCATCTGGACTTTCCTCTCGTCTGCACCGAACAGGACGAGGAGGACAGAGGAGAACGAGGATGCGGAGGAAGGGAGGGAAGGAAGGGGGGAAAGGGAGGAAGGGAGGGAAGGGAAGGTAAGGAGGGAATGAAGGGAGGGAAGGAAATAAGGGAGGGAAGGAAGGGAAGGAAGGGAGGGAAGGAACCAAGGGATGGAAGGAAGAGAGGGAGGGAAGGAAGGGATAACGAGGATGCAGAGGAAGGGCGAGGAGGGAGAGGAAGGGGAAGGGACCTGAGGCGCCTCCGGCGCGAGGAGCCTCACCACTACGCGGTCTTCGTCGGCCCTCTGCACGTGCACGTCCCGGTTGGTGCAGAGGACGTAGCGCTCGCCCGCGGGGGCGGGAGTGATGCCGTCGTCCTCGGGCGGGCAACCGGACCTCCTCCTCCTCCTCCGCCTCCTCCTCCTCCTCCTCCTCCTCCTCTTCCTCACCTTCCTAACCCTCCTCCTCCGCCGCCTGCTCCTCCTCCTTCTCCTCGTGTTCCTTGTCCTCCTCCATTCTGTTCACAACAAGTAGCTTCTCCCTGTCGCGCCCCTGCGGCTGGTCGAAAAGGCGGGCTGGGTGTTTCGCATGGAACCTCATCACCATGCATGATCATGAAACTTAGAATATTGTCAGCACCTTCGCAGATGGAGGGCGGGCCGCTTCCAAAATGAGGCTCTCGCCGTAGCGCCGCGCACATTCGTTTTAAACATTTGCAATGGTTTCACGGATTGATTGCGGGCCGTTTTCAAGATGTGGCTGTCGCCTTACCGCCGCGCGTACTCGTCTAAAACATTCCTTTTTAAACCGGTTCCTTTTTAAAACGGTTCCTTTTTAAAGCGCTTCCTCTTTAACATGCGGATTCAACGCTTCACGTATTGTAGCAGTTCTAATGCTTCACGTATTTAAAATGCGGATTCATTTTTCCCGGAAAGGGCTCCGGCCCAGGGTTCTCTTTTAGTTGGTAAACCTGTCCCCCGGTGCCAACTTGAAGGAGGCCGGCGGATTTTTTCCCTGATAAATATCGAGGTCGAAGGAGGCCGGCAGATTAAAATTTGAGGATGTCTCGAGCGAAACGCTTGTTTTTTCCCGGAAAGGGCATGAGCCCAGGGTTCTCTTTTAGTAGGTAAACCTGTCCCCCGGTGCCAACTTGAGGGAGGCCGGCGAATTTTTTCCCTGATAAATAACGAGGTCGAAGGAGGCCGGCGAATTAAAATTTGAGGATGTCTCGAGCGAAACGCTTGTTTTTGAAATCCCGATCGATAAATCACAGGGTGCGGGCCACTTTTTCGTGTGTTGAGGATGTCTCGAGCGAAACGCTTGCTCCGCAGAGTTTGCCGAGGATGTCTCGAGCGAAACGCTTGTTTTGCAGAGCCGACCGCGACGCGGAAAAGCGCCCCGCGCGAAGGAATTTCGATGATGTCTCGACTAATTCCTTTGTTTTTGTACGATTTCCTGGAATTTTGGCAGGATGTCTCGAGCGAAATGCACGACCCCACCCTAGCACGACCATACCCCAGCACGACCACACCCCAGCACGACCAGACCCCAGCACGACCCCACCCCAGCACGACCCCACCCCAGCACGACCATACCCCAGCACGACCACACCCCAGCACGACCCGACCCCAGCACGACCCTACCCCAGCAAGACCACACCCCAGCACGACCACACCCCAGCACGACCTCACCACAGCACGACCACACCCCAGCACGACCACGCCCCAGCACGACCACGCCCCAGCACGAACCAGCACGACCACCCCCCAGCACGACCACCCCCCCAGCACGACCACCCCCAGCACGACCACCCCCCAGCACGACCACACCCCAGCACGACCACTCCCCAGCACGACCACACCCCAGCACGACCACACCCCAGCACGACACACCCCAGCACGACCACACCCCAGCACGACCACACCCCAGCACGACCCGATCGATAAATCACAGGGTGCGGAGCACCCCAGCACGAACCCACCCCAGCACGACCCCACCCCAGCACGACCCCACCCCAGCACGACCACGCCCCAGCACGACCACACCCCAGCACGACCACACCCCAGCACGACCACTCCCCAGCACGACCCCACCCCAGCACGACCCCACCCTAGCACGACCACACCCCAGCACGACCACACCCCAGCACGACCCCACCCCAGCACGATCACACCCCAGCACGACCCCACCCCAGCAAGACCACACCCCAGCACGACCGCACCCCAGCACGACCTTACCACAGCACGACCACACCCCAGCACGACCACGCCCCAGCACGACCACGCCCCAGCACGACCACGCCCCAGCACGACCACGCCCCAGCACGACCACGCCCCAGCACGACCCCCCAGCACGACCACCCCCCCAGCACGACCACCCCCCAGCACGACCACCCCCCAGCACGACCACACCCCAGCACGACCACTCCCCAGCACGACCACACCGCCTTGGTTGAGTGGTTGCCTGTCGTCGTGGAATGTTTCGTGGGGTGTCTCGTGGAATGTTTCGCGGGGTGTCTCGTGAAATGTTTCGTGAGGTGTCTCGTGGAATGTTTCGTGAGGTGTCTCGTGGGCTGTTTCGTGAGGTGTGTCTCGTGGGATGTTTCGTGAGGTGTTGCCCAGTTGGGTATCATGAAAACGTGTCCATGCTCCACATGTCTATATCCCTTTCCGGGTTCGTGGGTCCATCATGTCAGAATTTGTTGAGGATGTCTCGAGCGAAACGCTGGTTTTGCAGAGTTGGGGATGTCTCGAGCGAAACGCTTGGTTTCAGAATTTGTTGAGGATGTCTCGAGCGAAACGCTGGTTTTGCAGAGCCGACCGCGACACGGAAAAGCGCCCTCGCGCAGGAATTCCGAGGATGTCTCGACTAATTCGTTTGTTTTTGTACGATTTCCTGGAATTTTGGCAGGATGTCTCGAGCGAAATGCACGACCCCACCCTAGCACGACCATACCCCAGCACGACCACACCCCAGCACGACCAGACCCCAGCACGACCCCACCCCAGCACGACCCCACCCCAGCACGACCATACCCCAGCACGACCACACCCCAGCACGACCCGACCCCAGCACGACCCTACCCCAGCAAGACCACACCCCAGCACGACCACACCCCAGCACGACCTCACCACAGCACGACCACACCCCAGCACGACCACGCCCCAGCACGACCACGCCCCAGCACGACCACGCCCCAGCACGACCACCCCCCAGCACGACCACCCCCCCCAGCACGACCACCCCCCCAGCACGCACCACCCCCCAGCACGACCACCCCCCAGCACGACCACCCCCCAGCACGACCACACCCCAGCACGACCACACCCCAGCACGACCACACCCAGTCGCACCCCCGTGGAATGTTTCGTGGCGTGTCTGGTTGAGTGGTTGCCTGTTCGTGGGGTGTCTCGTGGAATGTTTCACGGGGTGTCTCGTGGAATGTTTCGTGAGGTGTCTTGTGGAATGTTTCGTGAGGTGTCTCGTGGGATGTTTCGCGGGGTGTCTCGTGGGATGTTTCGTGAGATGTCGCCCAGTTGGGTATCGTGAAAACGTGACCATGCTGCACATGTCTTTATCCCTTTCCGGGTTCGTGGGTCCACCATGTTTCCCGGAAAGGGCATAGGCCCAGGGTTCTTTTTTAGTTGGTTTACACCCCGGTTTCGACTTGAAGGGGGCCGGTGAAATTATTCTGCGTAAGTGACGAGGTAAAGTGCTGATTTTCAATCGAAAAAATGCGTTTCGTGCGTGCCCGCTCGAGGAAAATGCGCCCCCCATCTCGGATCCTCGATAAAAAACGGGGTCCGCAGACCCCCGTTTTCCATCGTTTAAAAAAAAGTGCGGAGCGTTTTTCGCAGAATCCTCGACAAATAACGGGGTCTGGAGCCCCGACCGCGACGCGGAAAAGCGCCCCGCGCGTAGGAATTCCGAGGATGTCTCGCGCGTGCCGCGTCCCGCGCGCAGGAATTTCGAGGATGTCTCGACTAATTCGCTTGTTTTGTCAGGAATTCATAAAATTTTGGCAGGATGTCTCGAGCGAAATGCTTTTTTCCCGGAAAGGGCTTAGGCCCAGGGTTCTCTTTCCCCCGGTTTCGATTTGAAGGGGGCCGGTGAAATTATTCTGCGTAAATGACGAGGTAAAGTGCGGATTTTCAGTCGAACAAATGCGTTTCGTGCGTGCGCCCGCTCGAGGAAAATGCGCCCCCCATCTCGGATCCTCGATAAAAAACGGGGTCCGCAGACCCCCGTTTTCCATCGTTAAAAAAACAAGTGCGGAGCGTTTTTCGCAGAATCCTCGACAAATAACGGGGTCTGGAGCCCCGACCGCGACGCGGAAAAACGCCCCGCGCGCAGGAAATCCGAGGATGTCTCGCGCGTGCCGCGTCTCGCGCGCAGGAATTTCGAGGATGTCTCGACTAATTCGCTTGTTTTGTCAGGAATTCTTAAAATTTTGGCAGGATGTCTCGAGCGACATGCTTTTTTTACATAGTTTGTTGCGGATGTCTAGAGGGAAAAGCACGACCCCACCCCAGCACGACCACACCCCAGCACGACCATACCCCAGCACGACCACACCCCAGCACGACCCGACCCCAGCACGACCCTACCCCAGCAAGACCACACCCCAGCACGACCACACCCCAGCACGACCTCACCACAGCACGACCACACCCCAGCACGACCACGCCAGCACGACCACGCCCCAGCACGACCACGCCCCAGCACGACCACCCCCCAGCACGACCACCCCCCCAGCACGACCACCCCAGCACGACCCCACCCCAGCACCAGCACGACCACACCCCAGCACGACCACACCACAGCACGACCACACCCCAGCACGACCACGCCCCAGCACGACCACGCCCCAGCACGACCACACCCCAGCCCCAGCACGACCACGCCCCAGCACGACCACGCCCCAGCACAGCACGACCACCCCCCAGCACGACCACCCCCCAGCACGACCACCCCCCACCACCCCCCAGACCACGCCCCCACACCCGCCCAGCACGACCACACCCCAGCACGACCACTCCCCAGCACGACCACACCGCCTTGGTTGAGTGGTTGCCTGTCGTCGTGGAATGTTTCGTGGGGTGTCTCGTGGAATGTTTCGCGGGGTGTCTCCTGGAATGTTTCGTGAGGTGTCTCGCGGAATGTTTCGTGAGGTGTCTCGTGGGATGTTTCGTGAGGTGTCTCGTGGGATGTTTCGTGAGGTGTTGCCCAGTTGGGTATCGTGAAAACGTGTCCATGCTCCACATGTCTATATCCCTTTCCGGTTCGTGGGTCCATCAAGGTTTTTAAACATAGTTTAGTTGGCGGATGTCCAAGAGTAAACGCTCGGTTTTGCAGGCGACCGCACGCGGAAAAAGCG